AAAGCAAAGCAATCAAACAATTAGTTATGTTAAAAGTAATTTAGTTTACAAATTAAATAAAAAAATTACTTTGAAACTGACAGACAGTTTGGTAATTATTTAATATAATTAATATAATTATTTAACTGTTAAACAAATATGGATCTGTAGAGAATTGTTTCGATATAATTTTTTTTAGAACTACGATGTATACGTTTCCTTTTTTCCAACAGTATAAAACATTTGTACTCATTATATTCAGAAAATTATCTAAACATAAACAGACATAGAAAACAGCATGGACACACACTTCAGCGTGTTAACCCATTCGTCAGAAAAAGCTGCATTTAAATCGAAAAAAATAAAAAAACAAGGAATGAAACATACTAGAAGTAACTGTCGGCTCCACATTATAATCACATGTATGTGATATGTGCCTGGGCAGAATATAAAAGTACAAGTTTGGCAGAGCCCTACTCACTGTATTAATAAAGCCATGACAGGACGCCATTGTTTATGTAAAGATGGATTTTTGTATGTCATTGGCTCCATCTGACAGAGGTCCCAGACTTTTTGGATTCATGTATTGTATGTGGGAGCGTCTGCTTTCAGCCATCTAATGCTTATACACTTTAAGGCTGCTGTACGTAATATATGTAAGAGGTATTTCTTATCGCTCACATTCAGACTTTCAGGGAAGTTTTGATTTTATTCTTTTAATTTAAAAGTTCATGATCTGCAGCACATGGCCTTCAGACTGCCTCTAACTTCTCTCAGACTTGTGACCTACTTTTAGCTCTAAAATGCTCTTTGAATTACTCTTAGACCAAAAATGTATGAGTCCTAAAGTAAGAGCTGACACACCCTTTATTTGTAGGAGTTTCTCGTGACTCAACAAGTTAGGAGAAACTGTCAGCCCTGGGATGTTTAGTGGATACAGTCCTTGGGGATTTAAAAAAAAAAGACACTGAATGAGTTTGGTTTTGGTCAAACTGGGAGGACTTTGAATTCAGGAAACTGGACAACAAGCAGTGACTTATGACACTACTGGGAGTGTTTCTCAATCATAAGCCACATGCAAGCTTTAAAATGCTGCTGTTACACAATAAAAGTTTACCCACTCCACCCACGGTTATCTGGCCTGCTAACAAACTTATCCTTTCACCTCCTACACACCACAGGTCACAGTAGAGGAATACAGTATGTGTGAGTGAATGTGCATCCCCCACCTTGCTCCAGTTGCGGTGATCCTCGACACTGTCAATGGACAAGGCGATCATCTTTACATCTCGCTTCTTGAACTCTTCGCTGAGCTTAGCGGCACGGGCGAGCTCAGTGGTGCAGACGGGGGTGAAGTCCTTTGGGTGGGAGAACAGGATACCCCATCTACAGAGGAAAACAGGCAGAACACAATAAGGTCTTTGCTCTGTTGCACAACACCTTCGGACTAAAAAAAAAAATTACTAGGAGAAGCAAATGAGGCCATAATCATCAAACATTCACGTATTCATATCTAAGACCTTGCAAAAGTTTGGAGCTTATAGAGCAGTTAGCAATTAAGTAAACTAAAGTTCAAACCTGCACGTAGTTGAAATAAGTTCTGCTTCCATGTCTCTAAGTATTTAATGCACATTACATATCATGTAGTTTCTGTATTGTGTCTGTTGTGGTTGTGCATTTACTTCTGGATCCACCCATGTTTTCCACACAGTCTACAATTTAAGGCTCAAGAGCACAAGTAGAGAACATTTAGTCTCAGTGGAGGAAATTCCAGCCGCAGACTGAAGCAACAGGTGTCTGTGAATCTGGCAGACTCCAGCTCGAAACATCAAATCCAGCTGCGCCCTAAAAATGCTGCGATGATGAGGAGGACGAAGAGTGAGATGGACTAGACGAGCACGAAACTCTTGAAATCTTTGGTCTTTTAAAGGATAATTCACCCTTGAATCACATGAGTTTTGTGCCTCACATGATTTATGTGGATTTCCTCTTCAGTGTGTTCGATGTGTTATCACATGATGTGGAGGCAACAGAAAAGAGTTGCTCCTCACAGGCATTGTGATCACCTGATTGTGGGGTGACCAGAAGTCCTGATTAGATGGAACAGTCTTATTGTGTTGAAAAATGTCGATCTGTCTCTCCCAAACCCCAAAATGATGTCATCTAATGTCTTGTTTTGTACTCACGCTCACGGGAGAGTGTGTAAAGCTGCCACTATCTGAACATAAGAAGCTGCAATAAGAGTATTTTGGGGTACTTTGTAGAACTTTTCTATGAAAAATGACTCAAACCGATTAGTCGACTACTAAAATAGTCACCGATTATTTTAATAGTTGATTAGTCATCGATTAGTCGACTAATTGTTGCAGCCCTACACTGGACACAGTTTGTAAGAGGGATGTGTGCAAACGCTGATGTTGATTTAAACATTACCAAGGAGTAAAAAGCTTTTTTGCAGCAAAGACTCGGCCTATAAATTCACATTAAACAACACAGTCCAAATATGGGCTACTCTCAGACAAGTGATAAATCAAAATGTATTTTGGATATGAACACCACTCACAGGCTTCAAATGTGTCTGTAAAAAGTTGTTTTTTGCCCTGCTGGGATTGCCAGGTTGCAACTTCCGCTTGGACAGCGCCAGCAGAAAACAAGCTCAACCAAGCATTGCTGACAAATACAATGGGCCCTAAAACTGGGGCACATTGTCAACAGATAACAGCGTTTCACAGTCCAAAATCTACTCCCATTAAGTTAGGAAAGAAGTTATCGCCCATCTACTGGTAGGTAATCTCCTTATAATCATGGCAGGTTATGCCAGTTTGGAGATCAGGGCCTGCTGCACCACTGTGCTCAACCATCAGGATAAGAAAATGAATCTGGAAATACTACAAGAAAAAAGCAGAATTTAATTTGTAGAAACGTTTTTGGAATATGTTTCTAGATCAGAACAGGTAAATCTATCCATGTGAAAATCATTTAAATAGCACTTAGTTGGAGCATTGTAAAGTCTGCCTCTGTCCCACCGCAGGCTGCATGTGTGTGTTTGGCTGTAATGCATGTAAAACTATTCTTTTCTCTCTGCTGGCATAAAAAACCAGCTGGGCCCAACAGGGTTAGATACCAGAGGGGATGCAAGCCCTGAGGCACGGCTCCAAGTTCACACACACCAACACAATACAGGCCTTGTCCTGCCTGTGCTCACACCTGACTAATGAATGTGCCAGAGCAGATAACTGAAAATAAAGAAGCCCTGCTGCCACTGATGCCCTTTCAGTCTGCAGTTAGGTCAGCTCTATGTTCAGCTTCATAATCTTTCATAACACAGACATATTGTGTGTTATATATCGCATTTCTTATCAGTTTCTAATCGGACACAGTCATGCTTGTGTAACCCTATCTGTGTCAGCCAGCAGGTGTCGCATGACAGTCACAGATGGATCACACACTGGCGTGTCAGATCTCTATGAAATCATGCGCCTGAGCTTTTGAGCTTTTGAGAATTAATCCGCACTCAGATCAGCGTCAAGCCTCTCAGTGCGACAACAAGCCCGCGCACCACCAGCTCCCCGTGGCTCCATCAAATGCTGCACTGCTACAACATGATTCACAACTCCGATTAAAACACATTAAGTCAACAATGTGATGCCTGTCCTGTGAGCTCGCGCACTTACGAGCTGCCCAGGAAATCGTGGAACTTGATCCTGCCGATGGTGGTGTCGGCCTCGAAGTTGGGGAACTCGTCTCCCAGCAGAAGTCCAGGCATGGTGGGCTCTTCTCTGCAGCTCAGACACAGGAAGAAGGAAGAGGGGCGACCTGCAGGCTGGTCTGGAGTGATCAGGACCTCATGAATGGACCCGGATAGAGGCGGGATTAACTTCTGTGATGTAATCCATGCGACCAACCAGGGACGAGTTGTTTTTTTGTACAACTTTATTAAAACAGCAGCAACAGTGTTCAAGCAGAAACGCAAAGAAGTGTATAAAAGCCAGAGGTGGGGCCAAGTCATTGTTTTGTAAGTCACAATCAAGTCCCAGATTTTGCACCCAAATCCCAACACTCATTTGGTGACCAGTGACACGCTGTCAGCTCTGGGCACTTTACGCACACACAGTCATCTTCATAGAGAGACATTATCTGCGCCATAAGCTGGTTTACACGAGTCTCTGGGACTGCCGCAGTGTGTAACAAACGTCCCTGCATCATGCTCCTCCAATATAAATTCACTGTGTGTAATGTGTGCCTATGCGCCCTCCGTGCGCTCTTACGCGCGCCATGTGGATTCCTACTCTACTCACAACATCGCGACTTTTTTCCGCTCTTCATCACCTTGGGCCAGATAACAAGGCACGCACAAAAAACATGTGCTCTCCCTTTCCTTCACATAAACAGATGTTCATAGAGGACGAATGCGCGATGAGAATGTGCGCACCTCACACAGACTTCAGGTCAGGTGCAGGTAATGTGATAAGGAGGTGATTAACAGACCGAGTATGAGTTTAAATAGACTTTATAAATCCGAGGAACAGAGTACTTGTGCATGTTTCTGTCTTTGTACGTTCACACTGTTTTAGTCATGATTCTGCAGAGTTTTACGCATCTGGCCTCTACTCTGCTTGGGCATTTTTTACAATGCGTAATTATCTTCCCGGCTCCACACAGCTGCAGGTGCATCATGTAAATGGAGGGTAATGCTGTCACTGCATTGCATTCACACAGGGCCGAGAACAGAGGAGCAGCACCTGGACTGCGTCTGGGTCCAACCGGAAGATGGAGAGAGATGGTGAACAAGGGGGAGGCACTTTGTTCATTTTGCTAAGTGGGATGCCCCCCTCCCCTCTTCTCCTCTCCCCTCCCCTCCCCTCCCCTCCCCTCCTCTCCTCTCCTCTCCCCTCCCCTCCTCTCCACAGCCGATTTGGCCGCTGAATTATTACATCAATCACAGAGAACATCCACTAAGGCACAAAGTGAGTATTTGGTTACTTAGGTCAGAAAAAAACTTGGATGAGAAAGCGTCTCCAACTATGTTAATGCATTTTATTGTATTCATTCTGTATTTTGGGGAAATTCAAAGTGCGCTTACAGAGACAGAAGACTCAGAAGACGCCGTTCACGTGCGCATTTCCAGAAAAACACAATTTCCCAGGAACCTTTGCGCGGAGAACAACAAAGATGGCGATTCAGCTCAATGTTTCAGGACGTGATAAGAATTTTGAAACGTACAACAGATGACTTAAAGGAGCGACAACCGGCACAGCACTGCAGAGTATTTACCACTGCGGGTCAACTACATCACACCCGACTACGTTAGCAGGTTAACAGGTGAAATGCCTTCTCCTAAAGCTAAAAACCCCGGTCGCAGCGGAGGAAGCCCGGTGCTCGGCAGCTCCAACGGCCGATACGAGTTCATGTCGCTGACGAAGCCGCTGAACCGGTCCTCGCCGCCGCTTCTCCTCCAGCGGCAGGGATCCGACCCGACCACCGCCCGCCTGCGAGCCTCGGAGAGCCCCACTCGGCGCCGGGGATCCAGCTCCTCCACGGGCTCTGGGAGCGGCCAGGGGCTGGCAGAGGAGGACGGTATACGGCTCAACCCCTCCTTTATCCGCGTAGCGCTGAGCTCGCTCCTCGCCATCGACCTGTGGATGTCTAAGCGCTTGGGGGTGTGTGCCTGTGAGGACTCGTCCTGGGGGAGTGTGCGCCCGCTAATGAAACTGATAGAGATATCGGGACATGGCATCCCCTGGCTGGCTGGGTCCGCCTACTGTTTGTACAAGAGTGACAGCGCCGCAGGACAAGAAGTCATGCTCAACCTCCTCATGGGTAAACTATTTCTGTTCCTCCATATGTTGTCACGCTGTGTCTCCCTGTAGGAGCACATTAACTCAGAGACAGCTTTACTTACGCCTGTGCAGACAGGTCTCTTGGTACCACTGGCTGAGCTTGGCTGAGATGCAGTATTTGTGTCACTCACGTCCTCCAGCTCCTCCCTCCCTCCTCCCTCCCATGTGCGCCTCTTCTGTCAGATCTCACAGGTGATCCCACCCCCCATGACTATTTATGTTCATTTTGACCCATTTTGTCTTTCCTTCACCAGTACTGCCATATTCTCACATACAGATGACACCTGTTGTTCATTCTGGCCTTAATCCACCTGTGTTTGCAGCTACTGCGGCAGCCTGCTCCAAATAAGCTGCCTGACTGACACACTGAAGTATGTACAATGAGGAAGGGATGAGATTGGTTTCAAGATTTTGAGAAAAGCAAGTTGTAGGTCAGTGTGAGCTGCAATGCAGGTCCATCCGAATCAAAACACGTCATGCTTCATTCACCAAATGTTCTCTGCTGTCTTGTTTTTATTAGAGTGGTCTCACCCTGAGTGGAGCTCAGTGGCCTGAAGGAGAGCTGCAAGTCAGGTTTAACTTTGATGGACTCAACATGAAGCTCACACTGGTCTGCACTTTATCAGACACACAGCAAAGGCATCCCAAAATTGATTTAAAAACAGAAATTCAGTTTCACATGGATTGTGTCAGTAAAGGAATACTTCACCCACAAAATGATCATTTGTGTATCAGTTACTCACCTCGTGTTACTTTGAAGTCACAAAGAAAACTTTGTTTTCTCACACGAAGAAGGAAGAATCCAACAGCAGAATGTTCTTTATAAACTAAGTAAACAGGGGCTCCGTTTAACAACAGCAAAACTATATTAAAACCTCCATTTAGAAACACTCACACAACTTGTGCAGTATAGTCCAAGTCTCTCCAAGTCGCCAAAACCCTACCATTTAAAACATTTGCACGTCCAAGTAGTGCGTATGGGCAAGTGTTTGACCTCTGCTCATGCATTCTATTGATTTGCCCAGCCACACTACTTGTCCGTGTGTGAGGGTGCTTTCACACCTGCCCTGTTTGGTTCGGTTCAATCGAACTCAAGTTTTGCCCCCTCAATGTGGTTCATGTGTGCAAATGTGAACACAGCAATCACACTCAGGTGTGCACCAAAACAACCAAACCAAGACCCTCTTGAAGAGGTGGTCTCAGTCCGGTGACAGTTCGTTTGTGGTGAGAACATCAATCTGAAGCAGTCACATGACACATTGTTTGTGTTAAACATGAGCATGTTACAGTCCTGGAGGATTATTAATGTGCACCTCCTCCTGTACTGCCTTAATATGCACATTCAGCACATCCAATGCATCAAAACATTGTTTTCTAGTTGGAGCCGCGCCTCGTTTTCAAACTGTATGCTTTGACTAAAATGAACAATGACAGCAATATAGTCCACGATGAGCAGCGCTAAAATCAACCTGCGTAGTTGTCCCTCCATTGTGACATTAGAAAGTGTCACATTTATCTTGCAAGTGTACTCTTCTTCAACGTTTGCTTTACTTCCTGGATTTTTCCCACATGGAAATTCTGACCAATCAAGAGCAGCTTTCTTGCGCAGGCATTTTATCTAGTCCGTTTGTAAATGCTGCCGTGAGAACACGAACCAACTCTAAGCAATGTAACAAAATTAGTCCCTGATTCGGACCAAAGCAAGTGAACTCTAGGTCTGAGAGCACCCTGAGATGGTTAATGCAGAAGTGCTTCAAAGTCTTGTTGTTAAACATGGCCTCTTGTACTGCAATTTAACAATATATGTCATTGTTGTTTTCTATTTCAACGTAACACAGGGTGAGTAATTGATATACAAATGATAATTTTGTGGGTGAAGTATTCCTTTAGCAGCCAGTACAAATCTGTAGCAAGTTAAAACACATGCTGGATGCAAGCAGGCTCCCCTCATTTGAACTTTCTTCTCCGAAACCCATAAGTTCACACGGGCATGCACTTTGTATGTCAAGATTAGCCTATTGTTCCAGAAAGAGGATTTGTGCGTCTCCTTTCTTGATTTCAGAGATCAGGTTGTTTTGCCCTGTAACACAAGTCCATAATGACAGCTTTGCAGTTTTGTACAATATGAGCATTAGACCTGTTTTCTTTTCTGTTTTTGTAATGAATGGGGTTTTTTGGTGTGAATTGAATAACGGGGTAGGTGCCTCAGTAATTATGAGGCAGGCCGAGGCAAGTCTGTGTTGTGCATGTTGCTCAGAGTAGAGAAGCTGTAATGAACACTTTCTCAGGGTTCCAGTGTGTCCTGGAAAACTTGGTTCTAGCTAGTGCAAGTTTTGCGGTCATGGAAACACCTGGAATATAATTAAAATGAGTAAATATCTGTTTTGATGACTCACTGCTAATTTAGGGAGCCAGCATATGATTGGGTCGCACTGGAAAAGTGCAGTTGCGAGATGTCCACCAAAATCGCTAATTTAAGCAAACAGCACGAGCTTTGATGACAGAATGTAATTCCTGCGACACTCTTGAGGTGTCACTAGTTGTCATGCAGCCAGTAGCTTCCTGCAAGTTGTCATCCCTAACCTGAAAGATGCTTGTCAAGGCTCGGACGTACTTTTCACATTGAATTTCCGTGGTAGACATGGACGTGCACGTGCACAGGGTTTTATTCATAGTACAGTTGATGGTCCGTGTCAGGCCCTGGCAGTAAACAGGGAGAGCTGGGAGGGGAGCTGACCGTCCTCCTACTGCCAATGTCAGGTGAAACTGAAACTAAGACGCTGCTGCCGGGTCTGGAGGAAATGGCCGTTAAATATCCAACTCAAAACTAACGTCACTGCTGTGCAGCGGCTGCAGCTGGCTTGACTTTAGTGTAGTAAATTGACCTTAAACTGAATTAAAAACCCACTGACGTCTAACAAAAAGAACAGGCCAGATGACCTTATTGTACAGTTAGCAGTTAAAGCAGTTGCTTGTAATGAATCTGAGACACTTCATCATGAACCCTGCATCATTAAAAAAGGGAGGAATATAACTGAGGTAAAATGTGTCGATGATACAAGGCCTACCGGTAAATACTACAACTGTTTGTGAGCAAGTGCTGTCCTGTTTTGTCAAGAAAAATGTCCTGGAAAATGTTTTCTTAAGAAGAGCGGGAACCTGATCTGCACCTGTCTGTGATTTGTCAGAGATTTGGTGGAATGCATGTCAGTATTAGCTAGTACTGAAAGTTGATTCCTCCATAAGTCATTGACACCAGTTCCAATAGATGATTAATCTTTCAAGACATTTGCTTAACGGAAAAAGCTGAGCAGTCTCTGGTGTCAGTATCTCAGATGTGAGGATTTGCTGCTTCTTTCTGTGTTAAATCAGTTTGAAGATGCAACGTTGGGCTCCTGCAACTTGTTCTGAATATTTCTCTTTGCTTTCTGTTTTTAGATTTTGTAGTGGTTAGTAGTTTGTCAGAAATGTTACGTCAGGAACCAAAATATTGACAAAGCAGTTTATTGCTTAGGTTCTCAAGTCCTGATTGTATTGAATGATTAACCGAACGTTCCACCTCTGTTACTTTTTTATGGCTGCTGCCAAGTGGGCTGCAACAAAAGCTGCATTTAAGAGGCATTGAATGATTGCGCATGTAGAGTGGGAGCTCTCTCGCTTTTCTCAGTAGATAAAGCTGCAGCAGGGAGGAGAGGTCCAAGGGTGCATGGAAGGTTAAAAGTATTGGATAAAGATTTATTTTGCCACCAGACATCTTTCAGTTGTCATTTAATATTTAACAGTCAACCTTCTTGAATGCCTGATGTTAGTCAGAGACAGCCTCTGGTCCTCTGCATGGACAGTTTGTATCTACAGACCCGTAGACCAGCTTTTAACAAGGATTTAATTGTATTATTGTGCATTTAAAACAGGTAAGTATTAAGAAGGTCCCACCTCATCACAAGTTTTTGTGAGTCACTGTGTCGTCAGGATTCTGTCATGGACTAAATACTGACCTCAGATCAAACTTGGCTTTGGTTAAATGTCTGAGCAGCTCTCTAGTTATGAAGTTTTCAACAACAGCAGTTATTGGACCATTGAGTCGTTATCAATAATGAATAAAATGAACCGTTGCATATTAATTTTTGCTGAAATCCCTTCACTGGACTGCCAGCAGCGATTGGCTCAATGCCACCTGACTGTTGCATTAATATTTCAGCACTGCAGCACTGGAGTATATAAAGCAGCTGCTATATATGCTTGATGCAATGGCGCAACAAAGAAAAGTCCTCTCTGCTCAAGTGAAAGGAAGCCTTTTAAATATGAACTGCAGATTAGAGCTTTGATCAGGCCCGACCCTACATGGACCCGCATGGTTTCTGTCCTAGCCCGACCTTAGCCAGAACCACAGCAAGCTTAAGTCAACTAAAGTACTTTCGATGCGGTGACAGACATGTGTGATACATACCTGTGAACCCATCCCAGCTAAAGTTTGGAGAAATAACTGCCCAGTCTGGCCCAAACCCAGTTGGTAAGGGCCAAATGTGATCCAGGCAGAGAGTCAAAGCTCTACAGCAGGTATTGCAGCTGTTTCCTTCACCACAAATAGTTTTTATAGACTGGTTCTGATTTGTTTATATCATCCCAATGAAAGAAACTATTTTTAATTTTGCTCACAATCTGTTTCTGTCCTTGTGGTGCAAATCTGTACCAAGGATTTGATTTGATTTGATTTCTCATTTATTTCAAACGTGTAAACAGAAATGTCATAAGAAAAAAAGCAAACAAAAGATTCTCAACACAATTTCGCAATTCGGTTTACATTTCCGAAAAGGAGTGGGAGGAAGTACTTACTTATTCTTATGTTATTGAGGTTGCAGTAAATCCTCTCTATTTGTTTCTTGATATTTAATTCAAGTGTCTGCCAGTGGCTTTTCTGTTAATGTGATTACAGCATAACTCATCTTCCCCGTCTTCCCCTCCAGGCCTGCTGTTGGACCTGGTCCTGGTCGGCATTGTTAAGGCAGTGGTGCGTCGGCGTCGGCCCGCGCATAACCGCATGGACATGTTCGCCACCTTTTCCGTGGACCGCTACTCCTTCCCTTCAGGCCACGCCACCCGTGCCGCCATGTGTGGGCGCTTCCTGCTGGCTCACCTCGTGCTGGCCGCCCCGCTGAGGGTCCTCGTCCTGCTGTGGGCCAGCCTGGTGGGGCTGAGCCGAGTGCTGCTGGGCCGGCACAATGTGACTGACGTGATGTTTGGGTTCTGGATGGGCTATTGCCAGTATAACCTTATAGAGATGTTGTGGCTTTCACCTCAAACCCTGCAGGGGCTGCTGGGACAGTTAGCTTAACACTGAGGGGATAGAGGGAGGAGGGATGGCGGTTTAAATCTTGATTGTCAGAGCACCTGCATACCTTTTGTCTTTTAGACTGATATATAAGAGGAATTGTCTTTTGACTAGAGAAGAGCGCTCTATCAAACACAGCTGTGTTCTGCTTTTATCCAACAATTAAGGTGCAAGTGTGTAGGGTTTAGGGGGATCTATCGGTTGACGTGGAATTTAACATTTCTAATTATGTTTTCATTAGTGTGTAATCACCTGAAAATAAGAATCGCTGTGTTTTTGTTAGCTTTTTATGAACCCCTCATGTCAACACAGGGAGCAGATTCTCTTCCATTGAGCCCAGCATGTTCCACTACCATGTTTCTACAGTAGCCTAGAAAGGACAAACCAAACACTGGCTTTAGAGAGGGCAGTTTTTTTTTGCATTTTTTCGTTACCTGAAGGCCACTGTAGGTTCATATACACATTTGAAAAGAGAGGTGTGAGCAGAGTGGTATTAAGTTGGTTGCAATTTGCAAACTTACCACTAGATGCCACTAAAGTTTACACACTGCTCCTTTGAAGTCAGAATCCAGCCGAATTCAGCCCTCATTTTGAGATTTCGATAACTAGGCTGCCGTTAGTAAAACGTACAAGATTTTTAATCAGCGTAGACCACAAGAAACAGATTTGTCCACATTATTTCCTTCAACTCTAAGTAAGCTTTTGTTGCTGAGGAAGTGTTAATCGTGTGAGCCCTCCACTTGAGGATTTGACTTAGATATACCCTGTATACACTACAGAAGAAAGGTTAAATAATCAGTCAAGCTTTATTCAATAAAAACACACGCAAACAGCAGTAAATAGTACAACTTTACTACATTTTACTAAATACTGTTATGTAAAAGTAAATGATGCTGTTCCCTGTTCAGAGGGTCAAAGTGTCCATTAACAACTGCTGTTTAACAGCTGCTCACAAACCTGATTGTTTCATAGCGTGCTCACAGCGTCCCCTCCTGTTCTTAAACTTTTATTTCTACTTTACATCTGATAGGATTAAACATTAAATCATCTCAAGTAGACACACCCAACCCCTCATAAACTCTAAGTGGACCAATATACTTTCCTTATTGACTTTGGCATCCCTATTTCTTTGAAAGTATCACTGTTGCATTACCAGTCGACCAAAGCATATCATAGATTACTGATTACTAATCAACTCTGAAAGATCACATATGCGCAACCTCATTATTATCAGGGGATATACGTCAGAAGTCAGAAGTGTGTGGAATCCTCTTCTCTGGGCACTGACAGTTTCAAATAGTGTAATGAGGCTGAAGACTAACATAATGTACAATACATCTGTCCATAAGAGAATGGAAAAAAACATACTGAAGGTGATAACTGTATATCTTTACATCTTCATTGTAAAGTAATAAACCTTCCGTTCACTAAATATAACCCTCTAAACTGATATCACAGTTTGGCTCGTTGGTAAATGAATCACATATTTGCTGTTTTAATGAAAACCAGACTTTGGTAGACTTGACATTACATGAGCAATTTGAAGTCGTCAATCCAGACCTTCCTCTGATTTCATCATCTCAAGATGTGGCTGCGTGTTATCAACAGTGCAGGGAAATGAAACGTGCCTGAAATGTGTTCAAGTTGATAAACGCGCTCTGACTGAGGCTGATGTTAATTAAGCTCATGAGCCCACCCATAAAGTCTCAGCCCAAGCTGACGTACTGAGACTTTTTAAATGTATTATTTATTTATATTTGCAATTGAATCACAGGGTCAACCTGATTTAATTTTTGTTATTGGTTCTTACAGTCATTTGGGAGATTTAAAGGGATAATGCACCCAAAAATGAAAATTCAGCCATTATCTACTCACCCATATGCAGATGGAGGCTCAGGTGAAGTTTTAGAGTCCTCGCATCTCTTGCAGAGATCCAAGGGGAGAGGAGGTAGCAACACAACTCCACCTAATGGAGGCTGATGGCGCCCCAGATTCAGATGTCCAAGAACACATAATTGAAACCACAAAATATCTCCATACTGCTCGTCCGTAGTGATCCAAGTGTCCTGAAGCCCCGACATAAAAAGTTGTTTGGAAAAACGTCATTTGAACTCTGTTTTTAGCCTCACTGTAGCCTGTAGCTCTAACAGGACACTTGGATCACTATGGACGAGCAGTATGGAGATATTTTGTGGTTTCAAAACTTCACCTGAGCCTCCCTCGGCATATGGGTGAGTAGATATTGGCTGAATTTTCATTTTTGGGTGCACTATCCCTTTAAAACATTTGTTAGAATGTATAAGGGGCACTTTAAATCAACACCTTCAGGTGATGGTTTCCTATCACCTGAAATGAGAGCTTGCTAGATTTCTGCACTGTGAAAATGCTGCTAAAACACTGGCATTGTACTTTGTTTGCCCCAGCCAGTTTAGCAAGCACTATAATAATTACAGTCTGATAGATATGATCGACTGGTTATTCATAAAGTTAGACAAAAATGTACCAGAATGTGTAACTATCCACATCATTTCCCCCCAGCGCTGTGGCAGCACCTAGTTTAATATTGGCATCGAGCTTGGATGAGGACACCTGGAGTGCTGCCAGTGTTCCTGGATCAGTGATCACAGTTTGAAGGTCAAGTTTTGTAACCTTCAACACGACTGTAATGAATGGCACTACAGTGTGTACATACAGGAGGTCTCGACACACAAGAAAGTCTTCTTAGGCAATATCACGTGGCACTATGGGTAGATTTCTCGTGACTTTAATCTTGAGTCATGGGTTTTCATAATGTTTTTAGATTACCCATTAATTCTTTGTTAAAGATTCACAAAGGCAATAATCAGTAAAGGGATAAACAGCCAGACTGATTTATACCCACGCACTGGCTGCTGTTTAAATGACGCCAGCAGTCGAGATGTTGTAACACAGAGGGGTGTTTGACGTTAGCAATGTCATGTTGACTGATATGTAAGCCATTTGGGGGCACAGCATGAGGAGAGCTGTGTTAAAGTGTCTGCTGTGCAACATCTGTGCCAAATCTGAAGAGCAAATATCACTGTTCACAGGCAGGAGATGTGTCATTAAAGCAGTGGTGACCCCAATGGGGGGGCAGGGGGGCCATGGCCACCCTGGTAAAAATTGCTTTTCCTTTTCGTGACGACTGTAGTGGGGTTGATTTTTAAATATATATACAGTCGTGAAAAAATTAGGACACCCCATTAAACATTCAGTTCTTTAATAACAAATGTTCACATATCGATGTCTGATCTTGTTTTTCTTTATCTCTGGGAAAGAAAGTGATTTAATTGCAGGTAAACAACAAAAGTTAACCTTGTTTTACTCATTAAACAAAAGATATCAATAAAAATGCATATTCTAACTGAGGAAAAAGTTAGGACACCCTACCCCCTAATAGCTAGTGTTACCCCCTTTGGCTGAAATAACTTCAGTGAGACGCTTCTTGTAGCCGTCTACCAGTCTCTGACATCGGTCTGAGGAGAGTTTGCCCCACTCCTCAATGCAGAATTCTTTCAGCTGTGAGATGTTTGAGGGGTTTCTTACATGTACAGCCCGTTTCAAGTCACCCCACAGCATCTCAATGGGATTAAGATCTGGGCTTTGACTCGGCCATTCCAGGACTCTCCATTTTTTAGTTTTCAGCCAGTCCTTGGTGGATTTACTGGTATGTTTTGGGTCATTGTCATGTTGCAGGGTCCAGTTCCGCTTCAGCTTTAATTTTTTTACAGATGGTCTCACATGTTCATCAAGCACCCTCTGATAGACGATAGAATTCATGGTGGATTCTATGATGGTGAGCCGGCCAGGTCCTGCTGCAGCAAAGCATCCCCAAACCATGACACTTCCACCTCCATGCTTCACAGTTGGTATGAGGTTCTTTTCCTGGAATGCTGTATTGGGTTTACGCCAAACATGTCCTCTCTTCTGACGTCCAAATAATTCAATTTTAGACTCATCTGTCCAAAGAACATTATTCCAGAAGTCCTGGTCTTTGTCTATGTTCACTCTGGCAAACTTCAGTCTGGCCTTCATGTTTCTCTTAGAGAGCAAAGGTTTCCTCCTTGCACACCTCCCATGAAAGTTAAACCTGTGCAGTCTCTTTCTGATTGTAGAGGCATGCACTTTCACATCAACAGTAGCAAGAGCCTGCTGTAGGTCCCGTGATGATACTTTAGGGTTTTTGGAGACTTCTTTTAGCATCTTGCGGTCTGCTCTCGGGGTGAACTTGCTTGGACGGCCAGACCTGGGCATGGTGGCAGTTGTTTTGAATGTCCTCCACTTGTAGACTATTTTCCGGACGGTGGAATGGCTGATTTCATATTCTTTTGAGATCTTTTTGAATCCCTTACCAGACTCATAAGCTGCTACAATCTTCTTTCTGAAGGCCTCAGACAGCTCTTTTGATCTCACCATGGTGTTCACTGTCACTTCAGCAGTCTGGAGCACACCAAACTAAATGTCTGAGGTTTAAAAGGGCAAGCCTCCTTCAAAATGCTGAGTAACGATGTTCTAATCATGTGCACCTGATGTGATACACCTGTGTGTGATTTTAGCCATTTTAAGTGGGAATAAATGTGGGGGTGTCCTAATTTATTCCTCACCAGAAATTGCATTTTTTTAAAATTACATTTTACAGAAAGTTATAAAAATCTTTTCTTAAGTTTTAATTGTTTAGTTATATTACCTGAATCTCCCAGTATTGTTAGAATTGATATTAAATATCCATATGTCCAAAAACACACAGGCTTTCATAGGGTGTCCTAATTTTTTCACATGACTGTATATATGTAACTCATCTGTTTACATTTAGGCTTAAAGTTATGCATGTTTTAGGGCAGGACACTTTGAGTGACAGGTCGTCTGTCGATAGTGTACTCGGCTTCTTGGTCACATCCAACCCTCGGCCCTCAACAGTGCCAGCCTCTCACTCAAATATGGTCACTTCTGGCTCCAAAAAAACAAGATGGTGACAGCCAAAATGCCATAGTTGATGCTTCAGCACGGGAGTCCACAAACCAATGGGTGACGTCGCGGTAGTTAGGTCCTTTATTTTTACAGTCCATGGTCCCCACAAGTCTCCCCTAAACTTGCAAGGGCCTGTTCTCAGTAAATGTTTGGTTCTTTACAATCAATGCACTCCTTCAAATTAAAGCTGTGTACTTGCCTTTTAAGGAAAAAGATCATATATATAAATGAACAAAACACATTAAAACAGAATTATTGTGGAACTTAAAATGTTAGTCTATGCACATCAGATAATTAGTAATATTAACTGTTTTAAAATACCCTGTATACTACAGCAGGATAAATGAATCCCTGAAATTTATGGCCTTTGGTTTTGGTGTGCTGTCGCAAGATTTTCAGTGGCCCCATTTGGCCACCCTTATGAAAAAATTCTGCAGGCACCACTGCGTTTAAAAAGGTGTTTTAGCTTATTTGCAAGGAAGCAAGAAATCAAAAGATTAGCCCACAAACACGTCATAAATCCTGTCTTTATTGTCAGATATGTATCATAACATGAAGCCGTTGGAGCATCCCAGTAGCCCACCAGGTAGAGCATGTACCATTGAGGCCAAGTCCTTACTGAGTCTGGCCTGGGCCCTTTGCTGCATGTCATCCCCTCCGTCTCTCCTTTCTCTGTCACTATCTAAATCATCTAAAAGAAAAAATTGCAACTGTTGAGCATAATTGCTCATATTTTTCCAAAAAGGTTTGGACTAAAGAGATTTGAAGAAAGGTAAAGGAGCTGTGGTGCATACTGTTGCACCACATCCATTCATTTACTTCATGTGCACAGATCTAGTAACTGGCTGACTTTTGCTGGTAAGGACACGACCGCTCTTCCAGGGTGAAGCAGATTATTTAACAAGTTGCGCAACAGCTGGCTCAGTCTCGTTCATTGTACACAGATTTCTTGGTACTGCTAGAAACCAGAACAAGTTCACCCTAATTTCTATGTGTGTTGGACAGTAATAACTTTTCTATTGATTTGTACCATGATGAGTAATGTAGATCAATGACATCTGTGTAAATGTATGAACTACATTTGAACCTTAAATTGAACCCATTGTAGACTTTCAGTGACCTCTCACATGCTGTGCCCTCTCTCTGCAATAACTGACCACTGAGTGAGCGATAAGATGACCAGCGAGTGATGCGGTAGCTTCCATTCTTTTAGTTTTCTCAGCCTTCTTTCGCAAATCTAAATATGCTGGATGGTGATATTGTGACCAAATGATTTTTATGATGATTTGTGTTGTTTTATATGTTGATATTGCAGTGATACTGACACTTAAGGAAAAGATGTTCATCACAACGATCACGAAATAGATTTTGCACATTCCACGTGTCACCTGTTTACTTCACGACCATGAAGAAAGATGCATTCTGTTTGTTTATTCAGCTTTCAGATATTGTCAGCACATCTGTTCTTGCACATTATCAAACATGAAGACAACAATATATTTCACTGCACTCAGTTTTGCCTGCTATATACTATAAATGATATTGTGTGATTCCTGTATAGACTCTATTCCTAATGTATATACATATACCTGTATGGTCATGTGATTACACTGTTATGTTCACTGGATTTTAATGTGCTGCTCAATATTCACTGAGGGCTTGTTCTTGAATGATTTGATTGTAAGGATTTTTAAATAAACGGGGAACAAATGTGAAACTGTCTCATGTCATGATAGACAGATACACATGACAATGGAGTGATGTGCACAATAGTTTCTCAGTTACTCATCAGTATTCTTCCATCCATGTAATCTAATTCAGAGGACACAAATTGAACTTTAGTCAAAATCAGTCCCACTAGATTTCAGTAAACACAACCCAGCTGGTGCTGCCTTTTTTGGGCAGAAAAAAGAGAGGGAGATTTTTTTTCTTGATTATCATCTTACTATAAAAGCATGTGCACAGGTGACGCCCGTCCCCATTGGCCCTGCACAAGAAAGGACAGACAAGGATAGAGGTAAGACGGAGAGCTGCTATACTTATATTTCCGCTAAAGAATTCAATTTCTTAAAATTGTTGTGGTTGAGTAAGTTGTTAATATGTCAGTGAGATGTCTTCTGTTACCCATTCATGTGCAAATGATTAAACTGCAACGTGACTGTGAATCAAACAAAAAAGGTTTGTGCAGAATAGGGTTTTTTTTGCACATTTCGCAGTGATAAAATCACAACACTGAATCTTTGCACATATGTAGTGTAATAAGTGTACGATCTGCTCTTAATTCTACTTGTAACTGAGAAAGCTACACGGCAGAACCTGTATTTAGTGCAAAAGAGTTCAGTTTCACTGCTCTGTGCTGCAGGCCATGCAACCAGACATATTGTCAAAGTTATTTTATAATTCAGTGCAGTTTCAACAACAAAACAACAACAAAAAAATAAAGAAAATCATGAGACAGAATGAAATGCAGATGAGAAACCCTGGCTCATCAGGGTTGTTCATCTGCATTTCATTGTGTGAAGCTTGATAACAGGGATTCGGAGCTGTTGCCTACATTTAACAAAAACAATGTGCATGCAGCATGCATGTAGTACGCAGTAACATTTACAACCTACAAACCCTCTAAGACTAACCAAGACTAAGTCTAACCCTAACTACTACATGGTCTCAAGACATTTATCCATCACTGCAAACATTGATGAAGGATGTAATTTAATGTAACTTGGAGTGAAAGCTCAGTTCAGTTCTTTGGTTCTTCAAGTTTTTTTTTTTTTAAACTAAGTTTTTATTTCAATTCCAGCAACTTATGCAATCATTTTCAGAATTTACATTCTTTTTTCTGGTTCTACAGCTTTGCCTATGTGGCTTACAGGCAACAAGAGGAAATTAAAATAAACCAAGCACATCCCAGCTTAAAGTATTAATTTCTAAATGAAACAAAAGGTATAAATTAGGAAAAGGGAATGTCTGACAAAAAAGACTAAATAAAAAAAAGGTAACGGTAAAGGTTAGGGAGGGGAATTACGTGTGTGTGTTTACAGTGGCATGAGTGTATGTATGCATCAAGAGGTGAGTCAGGTCGGGGAGATAGAGATACATATATACTGGAAAATATGAAGGCGGATTTCGATCACTTCACTATGTTAGTAAGGCCACAGCAGGGCGTTATCTTTGAATAATTACTTCTCTCTGGAGTTGCAAGGAGCAAATTATCTGTTCCATCTCGTAAATTTCCCATACCTTCTCAGTATGCTGGGGGGGGGCCTCCAAATTGGCACAAGGTTTTAATGTGATTCCAGCACACATGCCTTCAGTTAGACTGCTGGCAAAGCAAGACCATACATGCACTAAATACTGCTCTAATGCACAGTGGCATTCACCGAACTGTCTCACAGATTACAGTGGGCTGGAATGACTTCACACATTTGGCGTGATGTACTTGGGAATGATGCACTTATATGTGATGACAGCCATGAGTTTAAAAAATATATTTTTCTCTTTCCGTCCCACAGCTCCACCATGGTGCACAAAGTAGCAGTGATCGGGGCAGGCCCCTCTGGTCTGACCAGCATTAAGGCTTGTCTGGATGAGGGCATGGTGCCAATCTGTTTCGAAAGCAGTGATGATATGGGCGGACTATGGAAGTTCAAGGCAGGTCACCACTCCAGAAATAAAAAACAGCCTTTTTGTGTTTATGCTTTAAGCTATCCAAGTTGAGAGCTGAGGGATCACGTTGCTGCCAGATCTCACTGTTTCCTTTTTCCCCACATTTCCTGTCATTTAAAACCTCTTATCTGCAGGAGGTTTCAGAGCCAAACAGGGCTAGCATCTACCGCTCCCTTACCATCAACATTTCCAAGGAGATGATGTGCTACAGTGACTTCCCCATCCCTGCTGATTACCCCAACTACATGCACCACTCTAAAATCCTGAAATACTTCAGGATGTATGCAGAACACTTTAAACTGCTGCAACACATTCGCTTTCAGGTAACAAGATACAGTAACAGTGAAAGTAGTGTGTGGCTCAGTAAATGTTTTCACTGCAGTTCCAAACAATCCACAAACTAATCTACTGCGTGTGTTTTTTATATTTAGACATCAGTCAAGAGTGTTAAACAGAGATCAGACTTTTCCCGCACTGGTCAGTGGGAAGTGGTGACAGAGAACAGAGATGGACAGGAGGAGAGGCATGTCTTTGATGCCGTCATCTGCTGCTCTGGTCACTACACCTACCCTAACCTGCCGCTCAAAGACTTCCCAGGTAAAAACATATAGCTTGCACATCTCTTGCCCAGGCAAGATGTTGCATCTATTTAAAATGAGGCCATAACAAGCACCATTTCAGGATCCCGTTGTTTTTCACTTCTTGCTGTTGGAACAGGATTCCAGTATTTCTTGTAACACACAACAAAAAGGAGTAACAAAACATATAAAGACAACGTTCTGCTGTGTTTCAGGAATTGAGACGTTTGAAGGCAAATACTTCCACAGCTGGGACTACAAGGGGCCTGAACACATGATCGGGAAGAGAGTGGTGGTCATCGGCATTGGTAACTCAGGAGGTGACATCGCTGTGGAGAGCAGCAGAGTGGCAGAGCAGGTTGGCGGAGTCTTTTCTGATTGCTCTTGTCTTCCTTCTTTTTAGTTAATTCATGCGTGTTTGTGTCTGACTATTGCTCTTGTCGTAGGTGTATATGAGCACTCGTCGTGGCGCCTGGGTCATCCGTCAGGTTTCCGACAACGGCCTGCCAGTGGACATGAAGTACAACACGCGCTTTGTCCACATCCTCTTCCAGCTGTTGCCCATCAACATCCTTAACTGGATTGGCGAGAACAAACTCAACGCCATGTATGACCATACCATGTATGCCCTCAAACCCAAACACAGGTAGGTGCTGTCAGGACTTCACAAACTATGACTCTGCATAAAGTCTGACTTCCTCACATTGTTGCAGATGCTGAAGCACATTCAAGCACTGAATCTATGTCCAGTATTCATTTTACAGTATCTTGCTTCTTCTGCTGCCTCCTCAGACTCTTCAGTCAGATCCCAGTGATCAACGATGACCTGCCGCTGAAGATTCTGTCTGGGTCGGTCATTATCAAACCAAACGTGAAGGAGATCCGTGGCTCCACCGTGGTGTTTGATGATGGCAGCACTGTGGAAAACGTTAGAGAACTTTGTATCCAAGGATACTTTCTTTATTTCGAGCATGATTAAATCTTATCTCTAACTAATACCATCCTTGTTACAGGTGGATGTAATCGTGTTCGCCACAGGCTACAGCTATGATTTCCCTTACCTGCCGAGCAATGCTATGTACAAGTCCGGGCACCGTGTGGGTCTGTACAAGCACGTCTTCCCTCCCAACCTGGAGCACCCCACTCTGGCTATTGTGGGCTTCATCCATGCTCTTGGAGCCATCATGCCCCAGGCTGAGATGCAAGCCCGCTGGGTCGCACGTGTCTTCAAAGGTGAGGCTTCGTGTTCATTCTATCATCTGCCACTAGTCAGATTCCAAGCAGCCTATTTACCCATGTCTGTCTTCTGTCTTTTGCACTTCAGGGCAGAAAAAGCTGCCCTCAAACCAGGCCATGATAAAGGCTGTGGAGCAGGACACCAAGGACATTTCCAAAAAGTAAAACTCCCAATATTCTTTTGCCTGATTATTTGTTGCAACTAACATTGTCCCAAATTCTGTTATGTCCCTCTGGAGTGAACAGATGAGAGCACTTGCGTTTTTAGAGCTTCATTCATTTTTTCCTTTCGTCCACTTACAAAAAATTTGACAGTAACACAATTCTTAAAATTAAATTAATTTATACATGTGGAAACACCCCAGTCTGAGTGCACACAAAGAATGCTATGTTTTATATAGATGACTGCAGGGATGATGTTTTTTGGTAGGCCGACGCAGGAGTTAGCATCGTCCTGCAATGATTGGATTTTGGATTATTGCCTAAACTAAACTCTGTGGCAAACAAACGTTTATGTTATTTACATGTTTTGTTCAGCAAATTAATCTTCTGAGGTGTAAATGCAATCGCCAGAAGTAAAAAGCTAATGCCACACAACAGTCGCATGAGTTAACATCATCACCACAACGAAACTGATGATGTTCTATAGTCTTATGTAGCCACTTGTTAGCACTTTTTAAAGACACCTTAAAGCTTCAAATTCAAGAGTGGGGTATTTACTGACATTTGTGCTCAGAACTAAATGTGAAAATCTCTTTATATATCTACAGACCTTATTTAAGGTATTCAACAAAAAACATCTTTTTAAAAACCCACTGACTTTGAGACAAGGAAACAAGGAGTGCTAACATGCTAACTCATCTGTGAGCTATTACTATACTGAGTCATTGCTTTTACATTAATTTGGAGTTCTGATGTTTCCTCTCCACAGCTACATTGTGTCAAAGCTGACACCCCTGCAGGTGGACTTTGTTTCCTACATGGATGACTTAGCCGGGGAAGTTGGGGTGCGGCCCAGTCTCCTCTGGCTCTTCTTCACAGACTACACAATGTTTAAGAAGGTTTTGTGGGGACCTGTCACTGCCTACCAGTACCGCTTGATGGGACCAGGGAAATGGGAGGGAGCCCGCAAAGCAATCCTTACCCAGTTTGACCGCATGTACCAGCCACTAAAAACCAGACAGGTCTGAGTCCCTACTTATCTGAACATAAGGTATAAATTACGACTGATTGTCTGACCATTTGGCTATAACCTTCTCTCTTCCATCTCTTGCAGCTGGAGGCACAAGAGACCTCCATCGCTGGCCGCCTGTTTAAGCTGAGCCTGACTGCCATCGCTGGAGGAGCTGCTGTCTACTACGTCCATGTGCGCAGCCCAGACACCATCCCTACCCTGCTGTCCAAAATCCGCCCACAAGCAGTCTAAACATGCTGCATCAATCAAGCAATTCGAAACATGCTAAGCAAACACTATATCTTAATCTAGTTCAGTTCACTCCTGATAAGCTGGTGATTATGGCAATGATTAGAGGGGTCGCTGTCTGAGCTGCTGATTAATGCTCCAGGTATTCCATTCATTAGTCCATCTACTGCATCTATACATTTAGTTTATCTAAATGCCTAAACTTTTTCCTAAAAAGAAAAGTGATGCTGACATGCAGCTATTTACATTAAATAAAAAATGTACAGGAGATGTCACAAATCCTGGTTTACATTGTGTATCTACACAATTATTCACAATTAACACAAACACTCATTGCCAATGAGGACTGCTGTCAGCATCCATTCTGTGCAGTATCCTAGTCGTGGTTAAATATAGACGAATAAATGCTTACTAATAGTATAAAGGCAGATTTATACTTGTGCGTCAGCTCTATGCAAAGCCTACGCCGTTGTCTATGCATGTGACCCACGCTGTGTGGGCATTTATACTTGTGGTCTGTCTGTGTCACTCTGCAATTACACCTCCAAACCACTAGTTGGCATTCAGGTTTCTGTGAAGTGCTGTAAAGTTTAATTGATTAAAACTCACCCAAGCAAACAAGAGGATCCAAACTAGGCTGTGCGTTCCAATCCCCACAGTACCATACTATAGAGTATACCAGAGAAAGATTTACATGTCCCAATACATGTAGGTGAGTGCAGTATGCCAAAAATACCAGGATGTTCTACTACATCTGGTCTGATTTTGCAGTTTGCAAGCCAGCATGCTTTTCTGGCTGTTCTGACCCACAATCCTCTGCACAGAGACGATACATCACATCAACTGAGCTGCAAACAGATGACAGCTTGACTGCTGATCGACAGCTGTCAGAAGTCGCAATAAAGGATGACAGTGGATTCAAGTAACTGATGACAAGAAGAAGAGTAATGATAGGAATACTGATTGTCTAAGTTAAGAAAATAATTGTAAATATTACAAACAACAACAGGACATACCTATAAAAATAACCAGAGATGGGACCAAGTCACACATGTGCAAGTCTCAAGTAAGTGTCAAGTCTTAACCTTCAAGTCTCAAGTAAGTCCCAAGTCATTTTTTCTTGGGCAAGTCAAGTCAAGTCAAGTCACAGTTTATGTCAAGTCAAGTCAAGTCCTGTAATAGGTCAAGTCAAGTCCAAGTCAAGTCACTTTATCATTGTAATTTTACCTGCAGAATCTGGTCTTAATAAAGTGAAAAGACAAGATATAAGTAACTGTCAGTAAACATCATTGGCCAATGTGTCCAACCTGTTTAAAAAATATGACAATAATTTGGATTTGCATTGTAATTACTGATATTCAGTAAAATACATCATGGAATCAAACAAAACAGAAATAACTTCATAAAATTATTTATTGATGGCTTTCAGTCTAAACAAGATCACTTCTGCCAACAGTGTTTGAAATATTTTAGTTGCCAAGAAAAAAAAGGCAAACATATAAAAATCTGAAAGAATAAACCTGTTATAGAGCATCAGAAACATCTGTATGTGTTTCAGACTTCATCGCTGCAATGTTTACTTGGCAGGGACGACCCCCATGCACACGCGCGCACACACACACGCACACACACGCGCACACACACACTAACCAAGGCAGCGGCCAAAATCACCCATTTAGCTCATTTAACCCTGTGTTGCTCGTTCATAAAATGTACAGCCGGTCTTGTGATGAACCGGTCGGAATGTTCGCTCACGTTTTCTGGGGTTAATGTTAGCAAATAAATTTAAAAACAAGCCTCAGCCTGCGCTCCTACCGGGTAATCAACATTATTTTTTAAATTAATTTATTAATTTTATATTCAAACTGAAAACATGATCTGAATAACACTCAAGTCATTCAAGTCATCGTGTCTTAAGTCAAGTCCCGAGTCTTTAACTTCCAAGTCTGAGTCAAGTCTCAAGTCTTTTATTTTTTGTCAAGTCAAGTCACAAGTCATCAAAACAGCGACTCGAGTCGACTCGAGTCCAAGTCACAATGACTCGAGTCCCCATCTCTGAAAATAACAATGATAGAAATGCAGATGTAATTTCACTGTTGCAAATATCATATGTTAGAATCTACAATCTGTGCAGTTATAACTTTAAAGTTAAACTACATACTTTGCAAAGTATCAACAGCAGAGCTCTCCAGTTTAAACTGCCTCTCTGGTGAACTCGATAAGTGGTGTTTGTTTATCTCCAAGGTAACGGATATAAAAGTTCAGGGCGTAATGTTATGAGACACTATACATCCCAATGTTGTGCATACTGCATGCAACAGTACAAACTTTTTAATGGCAGCTGCAGTGCATACTACAAGTAAAAAGAAAAAGTATGTGATTCAGAATGCACCCTGAGTCTCCAGTGTCAGTCACACACTTTGTGCATCCATTAATCCATCTGACCTTCTGCACTACATGAAAGTCACGCCACTTCCTACACTGAAACACAAAACTGGAAGTAAATGTAAACAGATTTTACAAATGTGGAGTGGCAGAAGATAGATAAGCTAAACCTGTTTTTTTTATTCCTTTGTAATTTCTTTACTGTCTGTTGGAATTTGCTGAGCTAACCAGATGTGTTTACGTCATACTTAACTTGAAGTCACCATGAATGTGAAAGAGTGTTTTTTTTTCTGTGTGAATAAAGCAATATGTTATACATCTCAGGTGACTTTCATCTTTTGTCCTGCCCTATTGAAATATAATTATATAATAAGATGAAGCGTTCTGAAATACTTTACCTGCAAAGCAAGGTTTAAAGCCCTGAACACAGACGGTCCACCTACACTGGTATCTTCACTTATTTTGGCTGGTTAGATATGTCTAATAGGATATATATTAAACATATATATTATTATATATTTCGTTTATTTAAATGCCTAAGCTTCTGTGCTGAGTTTGCATGTTCTCCCTGTGTCAGCGTGGGTTTCCTCCAGGTGCTCCAGCTTCCTCCCACAGTCCAAAGACATGCAGGTTAATTGGTGACTCTGAATTGTCCGTAGGTGTGAATGTGTGTGAATGGTTGTCTGTCTCTATATGTCAGCCCTGTGATAGTCTGACTTTTAGCAAGGAGTCTTAGACTGGTGGTGATGTAGGAAAGTTCTCAGAGCAACTCTGACCAAGGAAGGGACAGAAACTTGTAGCTTAGTGAGGAGACGTGGTTGACCCTGTAGCTAGGTGTGATGCTTGCTTTTAACAGATGTGATTGGTTGTCACAGACACGCCCCTTTGTGAGCCTACAAGGTGAGGACACCCAGTGGAAATGAAATGAACTGCTGACTGCGAAAGTGTGTGATCACTGAGGGTTGAGACAGACCCAAGTCATCACTGCTGCACTGTTTCCTGTTTTCCAAATATCACTTTATTTCTGGTGTTGTAGCATTAGGTGGGAAATGTGTGTGTGTATCCCAAATGAGATCCGCCACATGTTGTCCCTGCACGATCTAATCTGTAGCAATTTATTTTCTCTCCAAAATGCAACAGATCGAGGGAGGCTCAGGTGAAGTTTTAGAGTCCTCACATCCCTTGCAGAGATCCAAGGGGAGAGGAGATAGCAGCACAACTCCACCTAATGGAGGCTGACGGCGCCCCAGATTCAAACGTCCAAAAACACATAATTGAAACCACAAAATATCTCCATACTGCTCGTCCGTAGTGATCCAAGTGCTTGCGTGCGAGACCAGTGAAAGCACGTGAACACACATGAACGCGGTGCCCATGTTTCACGGTCTCGCGCAAGCGCGCACACGTGAGCGCGGTGCCCAGAGAGGCAGTCAGAGCTACAGGCTACAATGAGGCTAAACACAGAGTTCAAATAACGTTTTTCCAAACAACTTTTTATGTCGGGGCTTCAGGACACTTGGATCACTACGGACGAGCAGTATGGAGATATTTTGTGGTTTCAATTATGTGTTCTTGGACGTTTGAATCTGGGGCGCCGTCAGCCTCCATTAGGTGGAGTTGTGTTGCTACCTCCTCTCCCCTTGGATCTCTGCAAGTGATGTGAGGACTCTAAAACTTCACCTGAGCCTCCCTCGGCATATGGGTGAGTAGATAATGGCTGAATTTTCATTTCTGGGTGCACTATCCCTTTAAGCCTCTTAACAGTCCTCCACCCAGTCTTAACTTTAAGGGGAAATTCAAAAGAAAATATCACAACTTTGTGAATATGGCCCCTCAGTGACAAGACAGTAACAAGACAAGCTGTTACAGATGATGAATACATGAAATGAATAATGTGTCTAATGTCTGGATCAACTTGGTGCAGTGTAAATAGTGTCAGTTTCCTTTGCCAGTGATTACAATGACCACATTTGCTGCTGCTTTCTACTAAGTGGAACAAGCTAAACATGTCACCCGATGGGTTTTTTTATATTTCAGAAAATGTAGTGTAGCACGTTTGAAACACACCACAAAATCACCACGACACCACAGCTCTCTTTTACTGAATGAGTCTGTAATGATACAACATGTGACAGGGACTGCATCAGTTCACATCCTTCTCTCCTCTCAGAATACTGTCTCTCTCAGCTCCAAATGCAGACTGAGCACAACAAAACATTTATACAATTTCTATAGAACATAAATAAAATGAACAGCATGATCAACATGATCAAGCGTGAATTGAAATGATCGTATAGTGGTTATATATTTTTTTCCATTCATACCTGTAATGATACAACATGTGACAGGGACTGCATCAGTTCACATCCTTCTCTCCTCTCAGAATACTGTAAAGGATGCATAAAATAACGATGTAGAACAAATGACAAAAATAAATATGCCTTGTCTCACATGTCTAATTCATCACAGAGTAAGCACATTGACCTTGTGTGCACTTACACACACATACTCAACATTAGACAAGTAAAAATACACTTTACATTCATTTTATACAAATCCCAGAGAAAAACTACATTTCCCATAACGCCTTGCATTGCCAAGCGCAATTTGATGCGAGCAGCGGCACTTCTAAGGAACACAGTTGAAAACAACGCAACGCTAACTTCTGAGGTAACGTCAAAACGTTTTACAGTACGGACTTGTGCTTTATGCATTACAACTGTCTCACATAGCTCTTCTAAATATCATTACAATGCTGTGTTTTAAACACTAGGACAACTTTTAGAAGCTAATTTGCTCCGTCAACATACCTGTCTCTCTCAGCTCCAAATGCAGACTGAGTGACAACTTCTTATGCGCATGTACCACAGCGCGGCAGGGAGTGTTCACTGACCAAAATACTCAACTTGTTCTGATGAATATAAAGGTACATAAAATATTACTCCTTTGTTAATACTGGAAACAGCCTCACAACAAGGTTATGATTGACCTAACATAATCATTGAGTGTCGCCTCACTGTCAGCAATTGGAACGTACCAACTTACTTATTGAACAGGGGCTTAAAGTTAGCTGGAATACCAAAATACACTATTACAGTAGTGTGGTAGAAAAATAATTTAATAGTATGGTTTAATAATAAATGTAGTAATGCATTAACATCTAAAATGGTAACTATTGATATAAATAAAAATATGACTTGGTCAGCTGTGGAGATGTGTCATGATTTGAGTCC